CACTTATTTTACCTTTTGTTCTTTTCAACACAATCTTTTTGGATTAAAATGCTTTTTTGAAAATTCATTCATTATCCAAAATAATGTCATTTATTAAGACCTAATCAAAACACCTTGTTTTGCTTTTTACATGGGAAATTTTTATATCTATAAATGTACATATAGGCCTATGTAAACCCTTTTTTAGCAGATTCAAAGATTGATGTTTAACTCCTAGAATTTATGCTTATTGCTTTGTATTTAATAGACCTGTTCGTTTTTATGTTTATATTAACCTCTCATTTCCTCTTATTTCTCTCATGCATTTGTTATATATTTTATTCATAATTCTCTCTTATTGTTTAAAAAGGAACTACAGTTCGTAGAGACTGTATTCTGTTTTATTTGTAAATGTTTTGTTGTTATAAATAAAAATAACAAAAAAATAAATAAATATGATGACGCCATGTGATCGGTCATCATGACTGCAGCAACTTTGAGTCCCGAAGTGTCCAGCTGTCCGTCTTGACGGCTCCGTTTTCAACTCCGCCCCGCCTGCGCTCGGCTAATCTCGTTGATCACCGGCTGCAGCTGAGCTTCATGTCGAACGCACCTTTTGTTTTTTCTAAAGAGAAAATATCCAAATGTATAATGTAAAAATAGATAGCAATAAGAATGCTTTAATTTGATGAAAAGTGATAATATATATTTGTCACTATTTCTGTTTCAAATAATGCTGTTCTAAAACGCTGCTAGCAAATTAGCATCTAGTAAATCTGCTAGGATTTTTTTAAGCCCTGCTGAAAAATCCAGTTTTGGCTGGTTTTAGCTGGTTGACCAGGCTGAAGAGACTTTATTAAATATAACCCAAAACCTCCCAATGGTATTACCGATTGGAAAAAAAAATTGTTAAATTAAACATGTGACCATTTCCACTATTATAAAGATATAATTTACAAGTTATTTTAGACCCTAAAACAATTTATTACAATTCCAGAGATCCTTTATAATTATACATTTTTAATAATTCATTCATTCTCTTTTTAACTAAGTCCCTTTATTCATCAGGGGTCGCCACAGCGAAATGAACCGCCAACTATTCAAGCATGTTTTATGTAGCGGATGCTCTTCCAGCTGCAACTATGTACTGGGAAACACCCATACACACTCATACACTACAGCCAATGTAGTTGATCAGTTCCCCTATAGCGCATGTGTTTGGACTGTGGGGGAAATCGGAGCATCCGGAGGAAACCCACACCAACACGAAGAGATTTTGGATATTGAAATTTAAACAAATGTTGTGTTTGACTGTTCAAAAACAATAAAAACGACGATGACACACGATGTATCTGTAACTGATGAGTTTAATATGGGTTAAAACTCTGTAAACAAATTCATAAATCCACCCAGAGTGGAGTAACAGTGAGTACAGTACAGGAGATGCGCTAACTAGCATCGCAACGCTAACCTCGTTAAAGTTTATTACAGACAATTAAGACTACGTGTAGAAACGCTCATCATGCTGACGACACACACACACACACAAACACACGCACACACGCAAACACACACACACACACACACACACACACACACACACACACACACTTCACGACTCCTGCAGCAACTGGATGAAGTTTTTAGGAACTATTCCACGTTTCCCGCCAAATTCTCCCTGGAACCATTCAGCATCCATTTCCTCCAGATCACACACTATATCTCCTGCCTGCGCACACACATAACCAAACACATCAGACAAGTAAAGTTCAGAGACAAACTTTATGGTGGCTTAAGAAAGCCTGTTGTGAAAGTTTGAAGGCACAGAGAGAAAACTACATACATGTCAGCATGCTTCTGGTATGGATTGGCATGTTTCTCGCTAGGTGGTGGATAGGGGGTTCTAAGTGGTTGCTAAGGCATGCTAGGCGGTTGCTATGGTGTTGCTGGGTGGTTGCTAAGGTGTATCTAGGTAGTTGCTAGGGTATTCTGATTGGTTGCCAACGGTTGCCAAGGTGTTGTAAGGCGGTTGCTAGGTTGTTCTGAGTGGTTGCTAAGGCATTGCTAGGTGGTTGCTAGGGTGTTCTGAGTGGTTGCTAGGCGGTTGTTAGGGTGTTCTGAGTGGTCGCTAGGCGGTTGTTAAGGCATTAGTAGGGTGTTCTGAATAGTTGTTAAGGCGTTGCTAGGTTGTTCTAGGTGATTACTAAGATTTTTCGAGGCAGTTGTTAAGGTGTTCTGTGTGGTTGCTATGTGGTTGCAAAGGTGTTGCTAGGGGGTTGCTAATGTATTCTAGGTCGTTGCTAAGGTGTTGCTAGGGTGTTGTGTGGTTGCTAGGGGTTACTAAGGGATTTCTCTGTGGTTGCTAGGCATTGCTAGCTTGTAACTAAGGCATTGCTATGTGGTTGCTTGGTGTTGCTAGGTGGTTGCAAAGGCATAGCTAGGTGTTACTAAGGTGTTGCTAGGCGGTTGCTAAGGTTTAGGTTGTTGCTAAGGCATTACTAGGTGGTTGCTAAGTTCTAGGTCATTGCTAAGGTGTCGCTAGGTGGTTGCTAGGGTGTTCTGAGTGGTGGCAAGGCGGTTGCTAGGTGGTTTCTAAGGTGTTATGAGTAGTTTCTAGGCAGTTGCAAACGTAAGTTAGCATGGATTTAGTTTGATTTAGCATGTTGCTAGCATGTTTCTAGTATAAACTAGCATGTTGTTAGCATGAATTTAGTATGAATTAGCATGTTGCTAATATGATTAGTATGTTGTTAGTATGTTCTAGTATGGATTGGTATGTTAGTTTGTCCAATGTAAAATCAATGGCATTTTCTTCCAATGGAAGTCTATGGGACAGTTGCTAGGGTGCCGTTAGTGGTTGCTAGGGTGTGGCTAAAAAGTTGAAACATCATCAGTGATTGGCAGATTGGTAGTCTGAGTTAAATGAGCCCAACATTAATTGTGTATGACAGTCTGGTGCACAGTTATGTGGTCACAATGTTCGGTTTAATGTTAGGTCAATGGGAATTTTCCAAAATTTGTGGGTCAGTTTTCGGAAAACCGTAAGTCGAATCAGTTGGAAAAGATAAAGCAATACGAGTCAGACCAGTTTGGAGGTTTGGAGTTAGTTTGGTGGTTGTAGTATGAATGGTCTAAGATGAGATGCATAGAGAAATTAGTCTCAGAAGAGGTTTATGTAGTATACCAGTGTGTTGGCTTTCTCAAGCCACCGTAATAGTGATGTGACAGACCTTCAGACACAGCTCATCTTCACACTCAGCAGTGAAATCATAAAGTGCTCGTCCTTTACTGCTCACTCCTGCAGGGGGCGCTAGAGGGGGAACAACACATCAAACATTCACCATTTTTACATTATTATCACAATTATAATATATATATATATATGATTGTAATACATATATACACACACACACACACACACACACACATATATATATATTTAAATGTATACATAAACACACATATATCATACATACACTTATACAAGTAAACACACACACATTTATATGTCTCTAATATATATCTATATCAGGGCTGCACAATATACGAGATCAGCATCGATATCATGATGTTTGCATCTGCTGTAGTCACATCACATGATCTGCAATGTTGAAGCTGCAGAAGAAAGTACTCATGATAAGTGGAGTCATTTAAAAGTTTAATCATGAAGTTACCCAAATGTTTGGCATTTGCATGTGTTCCAGGGCTTACAAACCAGGTAAAACATTCAGGTGTAAGAAATCACACAGTTTGCATCTTTAAAAAAATGATTAATTGTAATTACACTCACCGGCCACTTTATTAGGTACACCTGTCTAACTGCTGGTTAACGCATATGTCTAATCAGCCAATCACATGGCAGCAGCTCACTGCATTTAGGCATGTAGACATGGTCAAGAGGATCTGCTGCAGTTCAAAGTGAGCATCAGAATGGGGAAGAAAGGGGATTTAAGAGACTTTGAATGTGGCATGGTTGTTGCTGCCAGACGGGCTGCTCTGAGTATTTCAGAAACTGCTGATCTACTTTGATTTTCATGCACAACCATCTCTAGGGTTTACAGAGAATGCTCCGACAAAGAGGAAATATCCAGTGAGCGGCAGTTCTGTGGGCGCAAATGCCTTGTTGGCAAAAGGGGGTTCAACTCGGTAAGATGTACCTAATAAAGTGGCCGGTGAGTGTATGTTATGTTATTCGACATTTGATTATTGAAATGGTGTACCTGAATATAGCTCAACTCCCAGAAAACAGTTTATTTCACTTGCATTTTTGCTCTAAACCAATCACAAGTACTGATAAACACATTAGTGTATTTTATACAGATTTACTCCTCTAAAAAAATCACCACAATCAGTCAAATATGATCCATTATTTCCAAATAGAGATATTCCAATCATCTGATGAATCTGTATTTCACTGACGCTCAACACTGATTGGTCCATGGTTAATGAATATTCAGAAAAGGAATGTTTGTTTACCAGGAGACTCCAGAGCCGGTTTCCCTGGCGACGCTTCAGTTTCCTCTGCAGCCTGGATGAAGCTGAGGGGGAAGATTCCAGTTCGTCCGTTGAGGCTGCCACGCCCCCACTCCTCATTTACATATTCTATTAGAGTGATGACATCACCCTCACTGAACGACAGCTCCGCCTCCTCACCCTCAAATGCAAAACAAGCCACAACCAACCTTGAAAAGAGGGATAGAGAAAGGCATTCTTTAAACTGAGTGATTAACTTACGAACTGTGCACCTTCAACTGAGGCT